AAACCCTAACCCCTATAAACCCCAAACCCGAAGTCCTGGAAGCTTAAAGAAGCGCAAAAAATCAATAACCAGGCTCCTTCCATGGCGTTCCGAAGTGCGTCCTGAAGCACCTTTCGGCGACAAGATATTTTGGTGGTTTAGGGCGGGGTGGGGTATAGTCTAGGGTATGGGGGTTCAGGGTATAGTTTAGCGTTTTGGGGTAGTGGGGTACAGTTTAGGGTTTGGGGTTATCGGATTTAAGCGTTGAGGGTTTTAGGGTACAGTCTGGGTGTTTTTTGTGGTTTTAGGGGGGTTTTGGGGTTGAGGGTATAGGTTAGGGTCTTGGGGTTTTAGGATTTAGGCTTTGAATCTGAAAGCACTGGCTCATCCAAACCACTGGCGATTACTTGGCGCGCTTCATCTCCAAACGCCTCCTCCATCCTCCTGGATTGCTCTTCGAGCAGGGCTTTTTGCTCAGGGCTGAGCGCATCGTTGTCGCGCACGACGCTGCTGCCCACGCTGAAAACAGACCCAGCCACCGACTGATTGTCGGATTCTGCTTCTGCTTCCATGGCTGACTCGTTGGACATGGCTAGTGAAGTGAAGGTAAGGGTGTGAGGGCAGTTTCGGGTGTCGGGGTTTTAGGGTTTAGGCTTTGAGGGCTTGAGGGTTCGAGGGGTTTAGTTTAGGGTTTAGGGTTTAGGGTTTAGGGTTTAGGGTTTAGGGTTTAGGGTTTAGGGTTTAGGGTTTAGGGTTTAGGGTTTAGGGTTTAGGGTTTAGGGTTTAGGGTTTAGGGTTTAGGGTTTAGGGTTTAGGGTTTAGGGTTAGGCCCAAGAGTAACCTGGGCATGAAAAGGGTGCCCTTTTTGGTTTTAAGGGGCTTACAAGAGAACCTAAACCCTAAACCCTAAACCCTAAACCCTAGACCCTAAACCCTAAACCCTAAACCCTAAACCCTAAACTGTAAACCCTAAACCCTAACAGAAAGGTGATCAGGGTCCCAGGTCTTCGGATTTGGGTCCTGACTCAAGCACAGGAGCTCAAAAAGCTGCATAAACCCTAAACCTTCATCCCTCAAACCCTGCCGGAAGCCCTGCGAACCCCTAAACCCTAAACCCTAAACCCTCAACCCTAAACCCTAAACCGCTACTTACACCCTTAGAAGTGGAGGAAAACAGGGGCGCCTGGAACTGGCACAAGTCCGGGTCCGGATGGTCGACGCCGGTCCACTGATGCGAGATGAACATGGCATGCCCAGCGCCTTTGGTAGGAGGTGGAGGGTCTGGGGGTTTGGGGTTTGGGGTTTAGGGTTTGGGGTTTGGGGTTTAGGGTTTAGGGTTTAGGGTTCAGGGCGCACAGGGCCCAGGGTCGAAGGGGTTCAGGGTTGAGGGTTTGCGGGTTTAGGGTTTAGGGTTGAGGGTTTGTGGGTTTAGGGTTTAGGGTTTAGGGGCCAGGGTTTAGCGGCTTTTGTAGCGATTCGGGTAAGCAGAGTTTTGGAGCGATGCCCCTCAATTGCTTCTAGGGCTGCTTTTACGGCTTCTGCTTGGTAGCCGAAGTAACAATATATTCTCAATCAGGGTACCCCTTTTTGTGGTTGGCTACTTAGAAGGGAACCCCCAACCCCAAAGAGGGCAAAAGGGTATTACTGGACTCCCAAGCTTGGATTACCCTAAACCCTAAACCCTAAACCCAAAATCCTAAACCCTAAACCCTACACCCTAAACCACGGATTCTTCAGGCATCGGGACTGTTAGAGTCCAGTCTAGGCCTGGGGTAGCCGAACAGCTCCCAGGCCTACGCCCCAACCTCTGAAGCCCATCTATTGCGGGTTTAGGGTTTAGGGTTTAGGGTTTATAGGGTTTAGGGTTTAGGGTTTAGTTCGTGTTTTTGTGTAAGGGTTTAGGGGGTTTAGGGTTTAGGGGTTCCCCCCCCCCCCCCCCCCCCCCAAAAAAACCCCCCTCCCCAAAAAAAAGGGGGGCTTAACGAATCTACTATTTCACGCGCCCTCCCCCTATGTAGCCCCACTCCCAACCCAGCAAAACCCTAAATAGAATACCCTAAACCTAAACCCTCAACCCCAAATCCTAAACCCTAAACCCAAAACCCCTAAACTTCTGTAAAAATAGATCTTGCAAAAGGGCACCTCGCTGCCCAGAATTCGCCGTAATCCCCTCCCCCGAATATGAAACCAACCCCCTATACCAGAGTATAACTGTAATGGGGTATCTAATATTAGGGGGTAGGTGGGGGGGTGTTGGAGGGGACCCTAAACCCTAACCCAAAACCCAAAACCCAAAATGCGGAACCAAGTCTCCATCCTCGAATTCCTGCAGGATGCCGTCGGCCATGAGCGTCCTTGCTCGCCCAGGAGGCAGGTTGTAACAACGGTTACCTTTTATAAGGGAACCTTGAAAACCCTAAACCCTAAACCCTAAACCCTAAACCCTAAACCCTAAACCCTAAACCCTAAACTTTAAGCCCTACACCACTGGGCTACCAAGCATCTCATGAGGAAGTAGTTCCCTCATGCGCAGCACGGCTTCCACAGGCACCACATACATCGGGAAGTGCCTTGTGACGTGCTGAGGGTTTGGGGTTTCGGGCTTAGGGTTCAGGGTTGGGAGCTGTCAGGGGGCATGTAGGGGGGAAATGGGAGCTGTCAGGGTTTGGAAGGTTTGTTGGGCGCCTTTCGGGTTTGTCTGTATGGGGTTTTGGGGTTGGGTAGGGGGGGCTGGGAGCGGGGAGGGGGGGGGGGGGGGGGCGGGCAGGGGGGGGGGGGGGCGGGCAGGGGGGGGGGGGGGGGGGGGGGGGCGGGCAGGGGGGGGCGGGCAGGGGGGGGCGGGCAGGGGGGGGCGGGGCAGGGGCGTAAACCACTACTTGCTTAAAACCCCAAATCAATCATAATAATCCCCATCTTACCCTTACACAGTAAAGAATGTTTGCGTGTTGTTTTTTTTTCGAGGGGGGGGGGGGGGGGGGGGGGGCTTATGGATGTTGCGGGCACGAAGTCTCCAAGCACCTAGTCAAGCTCCAAGCATGCAGCCCCGACAAACGCCAAAGCCCCAGTTGAGCCCAGGGCTTCGAGATCACATGCCCTCTATGCTATAGCCACCTCCCCATTGAAGTATCTGGACCATAAGCCACGGAAGGGTTTGGGGTTTAGGGTTTAGGGTTTAGGGTTTCGGGTTTAGGGTTTAGGGCTTCCCTTGTGCCAAGCGGGGTGCTGGCGCACATCGGCGACGAGCCCCAGATCTGGGGCTCCATGGAGCTTGGCCGCATAGTCCTGTAAACCCTAAACCCTAAACCCTAAACCCTAAACCCTAAACCCTAAACCCTAAACCCTAAACCCTAAACCCTAAACCCTAAACCCTAAACCCTAAACCCTAAACCCTAACCCTAAACCCTAAACCCTAAACCCTAAACCCTAAACCCTAAATAGTCCTCCAGAACGTTGGGCGCTGCCGCGCAGCATCCGAACATGGCAGGGCTGAAGGCTTCAGGGGGACTAACTGAACCCTAAGAGGGTTTAGGGTTTAGGGTTTAGGGTTTAGGGTTTAGGGTTTAGGGTTTACAGCTACTCGACTGCTTATTATTTGCTTGTTCGTTTGTTGTTCTAGGGATTGTGGTAGTATAGGGTATATGACCCCAACTTTAGGGTTCAATTGGCTTGCAAGCGCTTTGGGGGGCACGAGGGCTACGGTAAACCCTAAACCCTAGGCCCCAAAACCCTAAACCCTAAACCCTAAACCCTAAACCCTAAACCCTAAACCCTAAACAGAAGCCAGCCCATCTCCCTGCAAGGATTCGACCTGTGCTTCCCCTCAGCTGAGGGGTTTGGGGGTTTGAGGCTGGATGATAGGCAACCTCAAAACCCATGTTAAACCCTAAGTTTAGGGTTTAGGGTTTAGGGTCCTGAGCACCCTAAGCCCTAAACCTTATACCCAAGCCTATAGGATATCTTTGCGGCCAAAGGCCTTTAGGGCAGGCGTGGATTTGCCAGCGCCGCCCTACAGAAGCTGAGCGGCGGGAGCGAAATCTCAGAACGTCCCTACACCCTAAGCCCTACACCCTAAACCCTAAACCCTACAAACTCTAAACCCTAAACCCTACACCCTAAACCCTACACCCTAAACCCTAAACCCTACAAACTCTAAACCCTAAACTCTATAAACCATAAACAAGCAGCACTCCGGGTTTCAAGGGGTTGGTTCTGTGGCGTGGGGTTTAGGAAGCCCCAAGCCCTAAATAGGGCTGGCTGCGGGTTTAGGGCTTCTGGGCACCCCCCTACGGCTTCTTAATTGCAATTTTGGGGGGGTTTAGGGTTTAGGGTTTAGGTTTTAAGGTTTAGGGTTTAGGGTTTAGGGTTTAGGGTTTAGGGTTTAGGGTTTTCGGCTTTGGGTGTTGGGTTTTGGGCGGGGAGGGGGGGGGGGGGGGGGGGGGGGGGCTCGGCATAAACTCAGAGGACGTGGCAGCTCGCAGATCGACGGTCAACCTTACACCCTACACCCTGAATCCTGAACCCTAAACCCTAAACCCTACACCTTACACCCTAAACCCTAAACCCTAAACCCTACACCCTAAAACCCTAAACCCTAAACCCTAAACCCTACACCCTAAACCCTAAACCCTAAACCCTAAACCCACGCCTTTTCCGGCGTCTCGGCCATCGCTGCGGAGACCGCTGGACCGACCGGCGGGACCAACCGGGGCGAAGGGATGCAGGGGATTAAGGGACTTCCGGGGTTTAGGGTTTAGGGTTTAGGGTTTAGGGTTTAGTGTCTAGGGGGGTTAGGGTTTAGGGGGTTAGGGAACTTGAGCTTAGGGTGGTTGCAGGGATGTGGCTGTTTATGGGTTTTGTGTGGATTTGGGGTTCTTGGGCTTGGGCAATTAGGGGCTTAGGGTTCGTGGCTTTTTGGGTGTCGGGAGGCGAGAAGCTTTCTGCTATAGCAGGGCCCGACTGCCTATAGGAGCTCAGTCTATAGGAGCTAATCTTTATGTGTTCATTGCTGAGACTCAGACGCACTAGAGCTGGCACAGGTCAAATTCCTTCCCTAACTCGGTCACCCCTACATCTCTTTTGGGAAATACTGTCCCCCGAATATTGCAACCCCCATCCCCAGAACACCAAATACTCCAATGTCGTATATAGGTTCGTATTATGGGGGTGTCATGTTACAGGCTTCAGACATTTAGATCTTCTGGTATCAATAGGGCCATTGCCCCCCCCCCCCCATGACGCCTGAAACCCTGAGCCCTGGAAGCCCTCAACGATGACCAAACAAGTCAACAAAAACACCCAAAAAACGTGAGAAGTCAAGCAAGCTGGAATCCAAAGAAAAACGTAGACAAACACAGGCAAACGCATTTTTGTTTTCAAGGTGATGTTTCTGTAGGCTGATTCGTTTGATGGTAAAATGACGCTTCAAACCCTAAACCCGAAACCCTACACATCTGCAAAGCGTCCTTGGACGACATCTCCCCCACCGGGTGAACTTTCTCCACCCCTTCGGGGCCGAAGGTCACCTGGCTTTCCAGGCTTTAAGGTTTAGGGTTTAGGGTTTAGGGTTTAGGGTTTAAGGTTTAGGGTTTAAGGTTTAGGGTTTAAGGTTTAAGGTTTAGGGTTTCCTCAGGTTTGCAGGATGCCCAGCCGTTTTCGAAAAAGATTCTAGCCATCCCCTCACTGCTGAGCTTTAAGTAGGGCCAAGTTGAGTTCGGCTTCAGGTGTAGAGATTGGGGGCTAGAGCTGAAAAGGTTGAGGGTTTAGAGAGTTGGGGTCTTTGCTTCAGGGCGTGGGGTTTAGGGCTTCAGCTACGGTTGAAGTACGGTTTCAGCAGGGATACATTCGGGTCTGGGCTCTCAGGGTGGATAGATCGGATTTAAAGTTTAGGGTGTAGGGTTCCGGGTAAAGGGACTCTTAACATAGTCCCCATATAGAAGGATTCTAGGGTTCCAATATGGTACCCCTAGTTTCGGAAACCCACCTTACCCCTCCCAAATAAGGCTTCGGGCTAAGGGTTCAGGGCTCTAAGGTTTACTCAGGTTGTTAAGGTTGTTGGGATTTATGCTGTTCAGAGCTCAGGGTTTCCGAGCTTCGCAATGCCGGACAGCAAGTGCGTGCAAGTGCCTTCGTCGAGAAGTATTGCACGCCTGGATAGACATCCTCAGCAGGTTTGTGGGCTAATTAGGATTTAGGGTTTTGGGCATCCAAACACCTATACCAGCCACAGAGAGAGAGAGAGAGAGAGAGAGAGGGAGAGAGAGGAGAGAGAGGGAGGGAGAGGGAGAGAGGGAGAGAGGGAGAGAGGGGGAGAGGGAGAGAGGGAGAGAGGGAGAGAGGGAGAGAGGGAGAGAGGGAGAGAGGGAGAGAGGGAGAGAGGAGAGAGAGGAGAGAGAGGAGAGAGAGGAGAGAGAGAGAGAGAGAGCGAGTGAGTAAGTGAGTGATTGGGTGGGTGAGTGAGTGAGTCAACAAAGTGAAGAGAGACACAGAGCCAGATATCTGGTGCAAGATTCGTGCGTCAGAGTCTAGGGTTTGGGTCTTACAGGATTTAGGGGGTTTCGTAGTGCTGTGGATATGTATACGATTTTTCAAGACAAAAGGACTTAGGGCTTAGAACCCTACACGCTCTAAACCCTAAGCCCGTCAACTCCGAATTGGGCTGAGGGCTTCCTGGGCTCAGGGAGGGGGTTTGCTTGAAGCCATTTTCGGCTCCGTTGAGGCTCCACCTCAGGGAAAGGAGCATTGCCATGTTTAGCCGACACCCTCTGCGCTCAATCACTTGGTTCACGACCCTCAGCCCTAAATCCCTAACCCTAAACCCTAAACCCTAAACCCGAAACCATCAGATGCCGAAGCCGAAACCTAGATCTCGAGCTCAACGGCAACAGGCGGTTCACACTCTGCCCAGTTCGGGGCAAACGCTCGGGTTTCAGGCTTCGGGGTTTAGGGTTTGGGGATAGGTTTAGGGTTCAGGACAGAGGGTGTAGGGTTTGGGGGTCAAGGTTTCGGGGTTTCGGGGTTTCGAGGTTTATGGCCTACGGTTTAGGGCTTGGGTTTGGGGTTTGGTGTCTAGGGTTCAAGGAGTCGTCCTGACTCCCAAATACTGAACCCGAACCTTTAGTCCTCAAGACCGCAGTCCAGGGACAGCTGGTGGCATGGAATTAGAGCCCTAAACCCTGAACCCCAAACCCTGAACCCTAATCACCTAATCCCTAAGCCCTCAACCCTAAACCCCAAGCCCTGTAACGCCCCCCGAATCCAGAATCGACTGATCACTGCACCCCGCATCTGGATCCAAAACCATCAGAGTCATGCCAGGTTCTGTGGAATAGGGCTTTCACCTGTCATCCCGGCCATCCCAGGCCCAAGTGGATGTCTCTGATGCAATCAACTTTTGGTGCCCTGCACCATGCTGACCACTAACCGTGAGCTCGCAGTGGATGTGGCCAGAAGTGTCATGAGATCACCGATGCCCCATGAGCTCCTGTCAGGAATGGTTCCCAGAGGAGCATGAAAGGGAGGCTGTTGGTCTAGGGTAGGGTCCCAGGGTCTCATTCGGGGCAAAAGTCGAAGATGTTCTGAGTTCTGTATTGCGTCATTCATAAGGACTTAAGTCAGGGTGTTAGTAGGGTCTCAGGAAAACCAGCAGAGTGCACCCTAAACCCTGAACCCCAAACCCTGAACCCTAAACCCCCTAAGCCCTGAACCCTCAACTCGGCAGGGCTTGCGGAAGTCTTGGAACGAGGGAATGAGGGGCCCTGTATTATCCCTTAAAGGGTATATATCGGGCCCTCCTTCCCTCATCCCCAAAAAAGCATAAAGTCTACTCATTCAGCTACTCAGTCATTGGGGCTTGAGGGCTGAGGGCTGAAGCGGTCTAGGGTTTTGGTACTTTAGGGAGCTCAAGGGTGAGTTTGGGGAGTTTGGGGAGTTTAGGGTTGAGGAAATTTAGGGAGGTTGGTTTAGGGAGTTTAGGGTTGAGGAGATTTAGGGAGGTTAGGGAGGTTAGGGAGTTTAGGGGGTTTAGGGCTTGAGGAGGCTCATGTGCTGCATCTCAGCGTCTGTTTTGACCAGCGCCGGTTCGACGCACCTGGACATGGAGCCCGATTCTCGGGGGCACAGGCTTCCCGTAAGTTGCGGCGCAGGGTTTCGGGGTTTTGGGGTTTAGGGTTTAAGGCGGGGTTTTGGGGTTTAGGCTTTCGGAATGAGTCATGATCCACCCCACCCCACCCAAACTATCAAACTATGGCCCCCAAACAGGCCTGGATGGTGCATTCCTACTTTTGGGCCTTTCAGAGGCGAGTCTTTAGATCATGTCGGATGCGGTAGAAGATATTCGAGGGGCTTCGGGGGAACCTAAACCCTAAACCCTAAACCCTAAACCCGAAACCCTAAACCCTAAACCCGAAACCCTAAACCCTAAACCCTAAACCTCCAAACAAAAGTTTTTTGAGACCCTCTGAAGGGGTCTCTAGAGCTGAGGTCCCGGCGACCCACCCGCCCGGCCCGCGAGCACCGCATGGGCGAAGCGGGCGGCGGCGTAGGCCTGGTTTGTTGAGGGGTGATTGAGGGTTTAGGGTTTAGGGCTAGCGTTTAGGGTTTAGGGTGTAGGGTGAAGGGTTTAGGGTTTAGCTTGCGTAGGGCCTCTTGGAATAAGGAGCGCATAGGGTTTTGGGTTTCGGGTTTTGGGGCTTTGGATATATGGGGTTTAGAGTTTAGACTTTAGGGCTTAGAGCTTCGGGCGGTTGATCTAGGACATGCTTTCTACAAACACCAACAGGATCCACCCTAAACCCTAAACCCTAAACCCTAAACCCTAAACCCTAAACCCTAAACCCTAAACCCTAAACCCTAAACCCTAAACCCCCGATTCCATGTGCCTGTCGTGAAGAATGAAAGGTTCAGGCTTCAGGAGCCCTAAAAAGTCCAAAACTAGCTGCACTGGTCGAAGGCGGATGCCCCCCAAGCCCTTCAGCAGAAAGGTTTGGGGTTTAGGGTTTAGGGTTTAGGGTTTAGGGTTTAGGGTTTAGGGTTTAGGGTTTAGGGTTTAGGGTTTAGGGTTTCGGGTACCACAAAAACCGAAGAAGGATCTTCAGCAGGCTTGCTGTGCAACTTTTGCAACTACAGTGCCCTGGGGTATAGGCATAAGGTTCTCTAGCATTAAGTGTTTATGCCTCCTGGTGTCATCTGCTCAGACATGGACTCCAAAAAGGTGCAACCGTAGATATTCCGTCCTGCGCGCTTCCCCTTTCCAAAGCATGGGTCTTCATCTTGCTGGGAAGTCGGTTTAGGGTTTTAGGGTTTAGGGTTTAGGGTTTAGGGTTTAGGGTTTAGGGTTTAGGGTTTAGGGTTTAGGGTTTAGGGTTAGGGTCTCGAACTCCTTGTCGCAGTCAAACACCAAACCCGGAGCATCCACGATTAAGGAGGCATACACAACCATCAGCCCTGAGGCCTATAAGCCCTGAATCTTAGGCCCTCTGAACCCTAAATACCCCGAAGCCCTAGCCCTAAACCCTAAACCCTAAACCCTATACCCTAAACCCTATACCCTAAACCCTAAACCCTAAACACTCAGCCCTAAGCCCTAAACCCTAAACCCTAAGCCCTAAGCCCTAAACCCTAAACCCTAAACTTCAAACCAACCAAGCCAGCAACCCTCTGGGCCACCCCGCCATGGAGAGAGTGGAGCTGCCCTTTCCTGCCGGAGCCAAGGGGGGAGCTTCGGGTTAGGGGGGGGGGGGGGGGGGGGGGGGTTTAGGGTTTAGGGTTTAGGGTGTAGGGTTTAGGGTTTAAGGTTTAGGGTTTGGGGGTTTTAGGGTTTAGGGTGTAGGGAGCAGGGTTTGGGGAGTTGAGGGTTATAAGGTTTAGGGATGAGGGGTTTAGATGATTTTGGATGGGTTTAGGGTTTAAGGTTTAGGGACTGGGGTTTAGATGGGTTTAGGTTCGTTCTAAGGTTTAGGGCTTTTGGGGCTCCGATGGGTTTAGGGCTGAAGTTACTTAAGGTTTAGGAGGTTTCAACTCCAGTGTAGAAGAACCCACAAGACTAAAGCCTTCAAGCGCCACCACAAAACCCTCAACTAACCCTAAACCCTAAACCCTAAACCCTGAACCCTGAACCCTGAACCCTGAACCCTAAACCCTAAACCCTAAACCCTAAACCCTAAACCCTAAACCCTAAACCCTAAACCCTAAACCCTAAACCCCAAACCCTCCCGAAATGACGACTTGAGGTCCAGCCGGCCTTTCTTTGCATCCACGACCTCATTGCCGGCGTCCTGAAAAGCTGAGGCTCATTCTCGGGGGCTCATTGTCTGTAGGGTTTAGGGTTTAGGGCTAGGGTTTAGGGTTTAGGGCTAGGGTTTAGGGTTTAGGGCTTAGGGCTTAGGGTTTAGGGTTTAGGGCTTAGGGTTTAGGTAGCTCGGGTTTTCTGGTTGTAGGGTCCAAGGGCGTCTGTTTCTGAGTAGGGCTTAGAGTCTATAAGATGGAGGGCTTAAGGTGCGCTGACTCACACCACTCACTACACAGTCCGCGAAGACCCAAACGGCGCACCATGAAGCCGAAGCCTTCAAACCCTGAACTCTGCATGAACCTGTGCTACTGATGACACAAGGGGACAAAAGCATGCAGACACTCCGGATGAGACCTCTTTGTTAGTACAAGTGCCTTGGCTTTTTGAGGTTGCAAACATCATGTCTGAGCGCCCAAGTTCCTGCCACACTGCCAGATAGGTACATGGACCCCATACATGGGCCTTAAAGAGAATCTTACATCGTAGCTCTAGAGCCCAAGTATATACCATACCTTGAAGCTGCATAGTGGGATATTGCGGCTTCGGGTTCAGGGTTGAAGGTCAGGCTTCTTGCCCCCGAAAGCCCAACAGCACAAAGCCTAAACCCAAAACAAAAAACAACAACTAAACCCCAAACCCCAAACCCTGAACCCGAAACCCTAACCCCCCAACCCGTAAGCCCTAAACCCCAAACCCTAACCCACCAACCCCTAACCGCTAACCCCTAAACCCTAAACCCCTGCACCTGAACTCGCTTCAGCATTTGCGCCGCGATCGCCTCGGGCATCGACTTGGCCGAGGCATCCTCCGATTTGCGATGCGTTTTGGGAGCCCTGAAACCCTTTAAGGCACCATTAGGCTTAGGGTTTAGGGTTTGGGGTTTAGGGTTTAGGGTTTGGGGTTTAGGGTTTAGGGATAAGAGCACATGAAATCGCAAACCAAGCCCACCAACAAGAATGCATGAATCCTCCAAGTAACCCTAGACCCTCGCCTCTAGGCCCACAAACCACCAATCACAAACTCGATGCCCCAGCAGGCCAAGAATTTGATGTGGGTGCCCATCTCTTGCTTTCGACCATGTAACAACCCTAAACCCCCTAAACGGTCCCAAAAGACCGAAACCCAACAAAGACCCTAACATCCTGACCCCACCAGACCCCCACCTTAACAAGAAAAACACAACCCCCCCCCCCCCCCTTAAAAATGAATAAGGTCTAATTGGGCACCCCGCACGGACAGCACGTCCAGGCCGAACAGCCGCCCCATGATGATGGCCGAGTAGAATCCTAACGGGATGTCAGCCAACTGCCTCGTGGCCATAACACGGCATTCGGGCCCGTAGATATTCTCCAAGGCTTCTTTTGCTGCCTTGGCGTACATGCAGCCCGCCAGGCTTTTGATAGTCGACTCCACCTCCTGGACTTCGACATCGGGCTTCAGGCCTTGTACGTGTGCCTTGCCGATCTCCGCGACCAACTCCTGACGACTATCCCGAAGCCCAGCAAAAGCCCAGCCTACCATAAACCCCCCACACCCTGAACCCTCAACCCTAAACCTTAAGCCCCAAACCCCAAGCCCCAAACCCGAATCCCTAAACCCTAAAACCCTAAACCCAGAAAACCCCAAACCCTAAACCCTAAACCCCAAACCCTAAACCCTAAACCCCAAACCCTAAACCCTAAACCCTAAAACCCTATACCCCAAACACCAAACATCGCTCGCGCGCCTGGGAAAAAAGGGGTACCGCAGAGGGACCCGAGAGGGAGCCAGAGTAGCCACCGACTACAGGAACCTTAGACTTTTCAGTGCAGGGTTTAGGGTTTAGGGTTTAGGGTTTAGGGATTAGGGATTAGGGTTTAGGGTTTAGGGTTTAGGGTTTAGGGTTAGGGTTTAGGGTTTAGGGTTTAGGGTTTAGGGTTTAGGGTTTAGGGTTTAGGGTTTAGGGTTAGGTTTAGGGTTTAGGGTTTAGGGTTTAGGGTTTAGGGTTTAGGGTTTAGGGTTTAGGGTTTAGGGTTTAGGGTTTAGGGTTTAGGGTTTAGGGTTTATGGTGTAGGGTTTAGGGTTTAGGGTTTAGGGTTTAGGGTTTAGGGTTTAGGGTTTAGGGTTTAGGGTTTAGGGTTTAGGGTTTAGGGTTTAGGGTTTAGGTTAGGGTTTAGGGTTTAGGGTTTAGGGTTTAGGGTTTAGGGTTTAGGGTTTAGGGTTTAGGGTTTAGGGTTTAGGGTTTAGGGTTTAGGGTTTAGGGTTTAGGGTTTAGGGTTTAGCATTGTTCAGCTGAACACACGTGTGTGCAGACATGCCCACCCCAAGACCACCCAAACACTACTCAAAACGAACCAAACCAGAGCCAGCCAAACCAAAGCCAGCCCACATCCAAACACTTCTGCACTTAGAAGATGAAATCGCGGAATCAAATCGCTGCGATTTAAACACGCAGGCCCAAATCGCTTCTTATTTGGTCGTATTCAACCGTTGGAAACGCAAATCGCGCGATTCGGGTTTCCAATGCCAAATCGCAGCTTGTGCTGCTTTCAAGAAGCACTCGTGAGAAGTGGGTTCAATGATTTTTGCGGGTTTGGGAAAAATCATTTAGCCAGCTTGGGCCCAAGGACTTTTTCACGATTTCAGAAGTTCAAGTTCAGGGGCGCTTTTAGGAAGCCTTGAATAACCGGAAACTTCGATTCAGAGAGGTGCTGGAAAGCCTTCAGTTGTTTGGAAATTCAGTTTACGGAGCCATTCGAAGGCCCTCATTGGTCTCGAAACTCGCACGTAGCGAAGTACAGATTTTCTTTCATGCATTTTTGAGTAAGAGTTTAGAGTTTAGGGAAGCTAAACACCCTCTCGCACAACCCAAACTAGGCTTTTCAATGTATGAAACAATCAGGTTGAGGATTTTATCTAGAAAAGTACCATGTTCAACGACTTATTTCCGAGAGCACTGTGTGCTTGTTTGGTTTGTACCGAATCTGGTCCTTCTGATGTGGGGGTGGGGTTGGGGGGGGGGGGTGAGCACGAAATGATTTTTGCAGGCCCTGGCAAAAATCATTTCTGATGTTTTCCCTTCAAGGTTTTTGGGTTTAGGGCTAACAGGCCTTAAGATGAGGGTTTCTTAGCAAACTTGTGGGCATGGTCCTTTGAGATCCAAGTTGCCCTACGATTTGCAGCGATTTGTTGGCGATTTGAAGCGATCCAAGCACAATTCAGATTCCAGGTTTCTGTCTTCCGCGACGTGTGACAGTCTTCAGGCCTGCCGAAGCTGAGCCCGTTGAGATGCAGGATTTTGTTTCTTTTGAGTTTCACGACCATGTAGGAGTGTCGGCTTTAGGTTTTACAGGGCTCCATCCATGGCACTTGTGTCTTCGTTGTGGCAGTACCATTTATGTTCGAGCTGGGTGTTTTTTTTTTTGCACGGTTTTGGGTTTAGGGGCTAGGATTGAGAGTTTAGCCTTGAGAATCTAGGCTCTAGGCTCTAAGCTAGGCTTTTCCATGTATGAACAGCCAGGTTGAGGAATCTATCCAGAAAAGTACCATGTTCAACGACTTACTTCCGAGAGCACTGTGTGTTTTTTTGGTTTGTACCGAATCTGGTCCTTCTGATGTGGGGGTGGGGTGGGGGGTGAGCACGAAATGATTTTTGCAGGCCCTGGCAAAAATCATTTCTGATGTTTTCCCTTCAAGGTTTATGGGTTTAAGACTTAGGATAAGTGTTTAGAACCTGGTTCTTCTGAAGGGTGGGGGGGGGGTCGAGCACCAAATAACCCTCAACCCTCAACCCTCCACCCTCGACCCTCAACCCTCAATCCTAAACTCTAAACCCTAAACCCTCAACCCTCAACCTTAAACCGGAGTCGAGGGTAGGGAAATTACGAGAGGTTTAAGCAACGGAGCTGCTCGAAAGATCTTTAATAAACCCAGAAAAATCATTTAGCTTCCCCCTTCAAGTTCTCCTTGAAGCCTCTTTCTCAACCCTTATACATACCCATTCAAATCGCGCGATTCGGTCTTTCCCCAAACGCGGCGATTTCAAAACGCTGCGATTCTAACATCTAAGCTTCTGCATTCAGGCTTGTTGCTATAAACACGGCTTGTGAAAGTCATGTCTAGAAGCTTGCGAGAGCCAAATTAACGTTGGGGGGGGGAGGGCCTTCTCATCGTTTCTATTCTCGACGTCGGGATGTCATGGTGTTACTATAAACAGGCTTTGTGAAAGTCATGTCTAGAAGCTCACCAGAGCCAAATCAGCGTTTGCGTTGGGGGGTGTCTTCGGCCGGAGGGCCTTCTCATTGTTTCTATTCTCGACGTCGGGATGTCATGGTGTTACTATAAACAGGCTTTGTGAAAGTCATGTCTAGAAGCTCACCAGAGCCAAATCAGCGTTTGCGTTGGGGGGTGTCTTCGGCCGGAGGCCTTCTCATTGTTTCTATTCTCGACGTCGGGATTTCAGGGTGTTACTATAAACAGGCTTTGTGAAAGTCATGTCTAGAAGCTCACCAGAGCCAAATCAGCGTTTGCGTTGGGGGGGTGTCTTCGGCCGGAGGGCCTTCTCATTGTTTTTCTTCTTTATGCCCAAGCGTAGGGGCTGCATGGCGACAAACCCTTTGCTAGAAAGATCTAGAACCTTGCAAGAGCCAAATCAGCGTTTGCATTGGGGGGTGTCTTCGGCCGGAGGGCTTTCTCATTGTTTTTTCAGGCTACATGGCGTCAGACCTGCCTTGTCAAGGACATCAATGAAGCCTTCAGCTGTGGCAGGGGCTTCCCACTTGGGCCTCTCCACGGGCCCTAGGGGCCTCCCACCTCCCCGAACCTCCAGGCATCTCACTTTTCCAAACCTTTTCAGACTTTTAAGGGGCTTCTCAGGGGCCTCCCAGCTCAGTGACTGTTAAAAAAAAAAACCTCAACCCGACACTTTGGTTTGGGATGGCCGCCCCAACCCTGGCCTGGGGCCCCCTAGCCCCCCTGGAGGCCTCCCGACTTGCGGCCTTCTTTGCTGGACCACGGGCCCTTTTTCGGGTTCAGCCTGGGCCATTTGTTTTTGTCCAATTTTCGGGCCAGGCCCCTGGGACTCTGCAGCTCAGCAGAGCCTGCCATGGTCTCGCTGGCGCTCGACGCGCCCGCCTACCCACAGAAGGAGAGGGGTGGCGGGCGGGTTTAGGGTTTAGGGTTTAGGGTTTAGGGTTTAGGGTTTAGGGTTTAGGGTTTAGGGGTTTGGGTTTAGGGTTTTGGGTTTAGGGTTTAGGGTTTAGGGTTTAGGGTTTAGGGTTTAGGGTTTAGGGTTTATGTTTTAGGGTTTAGGGTTTAGGGTTTAGGGTTTAGGGTTTAGGGTTTAGGGTTTAGGGTTTAGGGTTTAGGGTTTAGGGTTTAGGGTTTAGGGTTTAGGGTTTAGGGTTTAGGGTTTAGGGTTTAGGGTGTAGGGTTTAGGGTTTAGGGTTTAGGGCTAAGGGTTTGGGGCCTTCGGGTTTATAGGGTTGAGGGTTGAGGGTTCAGGGCTAAGGGTCTCGGGGTTTGGGGGTTTAAGGTTTAGGGTTGAGGGTTTAGGTTTGGAGGGCGTAGGGGCCTTGACAATTACAATAGGGCTTTGCGGGGGGGCAGGGGGGGGGGAGGGTTTTTCGTGGTATCCTTATATAGGGACCATACGACAATGCTACTATCAAAGGTTCATGAGGTTTAGGGTATGGTTTAGGGTTTAGGGTTTCGGGGTTAGGTTTAGGGCTAAGGGCTCTAGGGTGTAGGGTTGAGCGTTTAACGGGAGGTTGCTACCGGGCTTGCGGGGCCTCATACCCTAAACCCTAGGGTTTCATAGACTTTGGCTTCGTGAAGTTTGTGTCTAGGACCTATAGGGCCCTCCTAAACTCCAAACCTCTTAAGCCCTGAAACTTAAACCTGTTAAACCCTAAACATAAAACCTCTTCAACGTTTAAACCGTAAACCTCGTAAACCCTGAACCCTAAACCCTAAGCCTCTTAAACCCCAAACCCTACCTTGGGCCAAATGAGTTCAATTCAGTTGGGTTCACATACCCTATCCTGTTTTCATCCCTCTTGAGGTATGTGGACCCCAAGCCCTTTCGGGGTTCATGTAGTCCCGTAAGGTAGGCCTCTCTTAAAGCCTTAAATCCTAATCCCTACTAAGGTACATGGACCACAAACCCTTTTTAGGGTTTATGCAGTCCCCCAAGGTAGGCCTCACTTAACTTGGCTGCACTTAGGAGGGTAGCTAAAGATTAAACTTTTAGCTGCCTTAGTAAGAAACCCAACACACCCCAAAAAGGCTAAGGATCTAAAGTTACAGTCCTAAACCCTAAACCCTAAACCCTAAACCCTAAACCCTAAACCCTAAACCCTAAACCCTAAACCCTAAACCCTAAACCCTAAACCCTAAACCCTAACCCGTAAACCCTAAACCCTAAACCCTAAACCCTAAACCCTAAACCCTAAACCCTAAACCCTAAACCCTAAACCATACCCTAAAGTGCAAGCGTTCCGGGGGCTGTTTGAGTCGGGGTTTAGGGTTTAGGGTTTAGGGTTTAGGGTTTCGGGTTGAGGGTTGAGGGTTTAGGGTTTAGGGCTTGGGGTTTTACAGTGGAGGGGTTGTAGTTGGGGTCTAAAAGGGCACAGGAGGCCGCAGCATAAACTCCCCCTATGCCAGAACAGCATTGCCCTCGACACTTAAACAGCCCCAGGTGTTTAGGGTGTTTGGGGTTTTACAATGGTTACTCTGGGAAGTTGACATTAGAATATGGAGATTTTGAGGGGACAGTACTGGCTTCTGTTTGCTCCCGCTTGAGATCTTACAAAACCCTAAACTCTAAACGAAGGCGCCTAGACGCTGCAACCCTGCAATCCCTAAACCCTAAACCCGAAACCGCAGTTCTGTAGGTTCCCGACATTGACGTTCTCGATTGGGACGTCGGTGGCCTGAAACAGGGCTAATGCGCTTGGGCTTTTTATGAGGTGGCTTAAAGGACCCTGCACCCTGAACCCTGAACCCTGAACCCTGAACCCTGAACCCTGAACCCTGAACCCTAAACCCTAAACCCTAACCCTGAGCCCTCAACCCACTCACATCTTGAGTCTAAGCCTTACAGCTCGCAGTGATGCGAAGTCAGCGAGCCCAATAACATTTGCTTGTCGGCTCTAGGGTTTAGGGTTTAGGGTTTAGGGTCTAGGGACTTGGGGGCTCAGCTCGACCATCTCCTTGGATGCCCAGCAACCAAGGATTCTTTACCCCCCTCCCGCTCCACCCCCGCAACGAAAAGGCCGCCTGAACCCCAAGCCCTACGCTCTAAACGCTAACCCAAAAACTCCCCCACCCCCCCCCCCCCCACCACCCCCCCCTGCAAAAAAAAAGAAGCTAAATCATAGCCTAAACCCAAACCCCCCCTCACAACCCCCCCCCCCCCCCCCCCCCCCCAAAAAAAAAAAAAACTTAGATCCTTACCCTCCTGTCTGGCCTCATGGACGAACTTGTTCGCCCGGACCGTGTCCAGGCAAGTGATCCCTATGACCTGCAGGGCGCCACCCAAAACCCTGGCAGCCGTCAACCCCAAACCCTAAACCCTAAACCCCAAACCCGAAACCCTAAACCCTAACCCTAAACCTCAGGGGTTTAGAGCTTTGTAGGGCTTTGAGTACAGAGTTTGGCGTAGAGGGATGTCCCTGAAACCCTAAACCCACAAACCCGAAAGACCTACATCCCTCAGCACCCCCTACGCCCAATGTTTGGACCGTGGAGGCTGTTGTGTTTCCGAGCTCGAGGGGCTCCCAGAGAAGCCTGCAGCGAGGGTTTAGGGTTTAGGGTTTAGGGTTTAGGGTTTAAGGTTTAGGCCTCAAGTATCCTTGAATGCCTTTGGGGTGTAAGGTAGGTGTAGGGTACGGCACAGCCGAAATGTGGCATTCCAAGACCTTAGCCCCGGAAGCCCCTGAGCCCCAGACCCCCTTTAACAGCAAAGACTAACCACCTTGCAAAAAACCAATACTCCCGCCCCTCCCCCCAAAAAAAAGTTCTGAGCCCCTGAAAGCCGTGAAAGTCTTCAACGCCTTCACATAGTACCCCCCCCCCCAAAAAAAAAACACTCATGAACCCCTGAAAGTCCTAAAGGCCTTCACATCACCCCTAGGGTGGCACCTTGCGAGGATCGAGCCCCGCCTTCTCGTAGAGCCTGCTGAGGGCTTAGAGTTTCTTGGGTGAAGTCGAGGTTCTGGAGGTTTAAGCTGTACTTTTCGGCTTTAGGGTTACAGGCTGAACTAACCTGGTTGCTGAGCACCCTGGGCCAAGAAAGGCTAACCTTCAATTCTGGTAGGTTGTATGTATATACCCCTAAAGGTTAGAGGTTTGAGGTTTAGGGTTTAGGGTTTACTCAGCTACTAAGTTAGGGCTCCAGGGTGTCAGAGCAAAGTAGCCTGGCAGCATCTGCCTTGACCTCCCTATGTCTACCCCTAAACCCTATAAACCCTTCACCCCTCAACCCTAAACCTGAGGCGAAACCCTAAACCCTAAACCCAAAACCCTTCAACCCTAAACCTTAGACCCTTGGCGACGACGCTCAAAGCACCCTAGGCTTCGAGAAGGAGCCGTGAACCGCAAGAAAAAACTGACAAGGGTTTGGCGTTTAGGGGTTTAGGGTTTAGGGCTAGGGCTTTGGGGTTTAGGGCTTTGGGCTTTAGGGTTTAGGGTTTAGGGGGTGTAGTTTTAGGGTTTAGGGCTTATGGCTTTGAGGGTTTAGGATCTTCGGACGATCTCAGGGATTCAGGGTTTGAGGGCACTACGGGCTTCGGATCATAGGGATTTAGGGCTTAAGATCTGACAGGTTCAGGGCTTCGGGTTGCGATTGCCTTGTCAAGTTGTCCATGGCTTCATGGTTTGGCATAGGTAGAGCTTAGGAGTTCAAGACCTACTCGCCCACCCCCCCCCCCCCCCGCCCCCCATCACCCCCCCAGTCACCTTAAAGAACTAACGCGAAACCCTAAACGCTAATCCCTAAACCCTAAACCCGAAGCGAAGAACTTGGGCCTTGTTTTGGGACGGGCTAGGGAGGCAGTGGGGGGGGAGGGCAGGTGGTGCCGAGAGCAACGGGCGAAGCACCTTAATCGTTGGGTTTCTTTGCCCTTTTGCATACGGGGGGGGGGGCCGGGGGGGGGGGGGGGGTTCTTATTACAACAGGGGCTTAGGCATGGTAGGGATCTCGGGCAAGTAGGGTTAGGGTTAGGGCTTTAGGGCTCTAGGTCGTTAAGAGTTCAAGTCTGAAGAGCGGTGGCACCTGGCCATGGCTGGCACTACGGAGTCAGCATCAGTATGTTAGGGTTAGGGTTTAGGGTTTAGGGTTTAGGGTTTTAGGGTTTTAGGGTTAGGGTTTAGGGTTAGGGTTTAGGGTTTTGGCGTAGGGATGGGGTTCTGCTTGGTAGGGTTCTTGGGTTTAGATGGCCTTCAACCCCTAACCCTGAGTTAGGATTTTGCTTTCGATGGTGTGTGTGTGTGTGTGGTGTGTGTGTGGTGTGTGTGTGTGTGTGTGTGTGTGTGTGTGTGTGTGTGTCTGTGTGTCTGTGTGTCTGTGTGTCTGTGTGTCTGTGTGTCTGTGTGTCTGTGTGTCTGTGTGTCCGTGTGTCTGTGTGTCGGTGTGTCTGTGTGTCTGTGTGTCTGTGTGTCTGTGTGTCTGTGTGTCTGTGTGTCTGTGTGTCTGTGTGTCTGTGTGTCTGTGTCTCTGTGTCTCTGTGTCTCTGTGTCTCTGTGTCTCTGTGTCTCTGTGTCTCTGTGTCTCTGTGTCTCTGTGTCTCTGTGTGTCTGTGTCTCTGTGTGTCTGTGTGTCTGTGTGTCTGTGTGTCTGTGTGTCTGTGTGTCTGTGTGTCTGTGTGTCTGTGTGTCTGTGTGTCTGTGTGTCTGTGTGTCTGTGTGTCTGTGTGTCTGTGTGTCTGTGTGTCTGTGTGTCTGTGTGTATGTGTGTCTGTGTGTCTGTGTGTCTGTGTGTCTGTGTGTCTGTGTGTCTGTGTGTCTGTGTGTCTGTGTGTCTGTGTGTCTGTGTGTCTGTGTGTCTGTGTGTCTGTGTGTCTGTGTGTCTGTGTGTCTGTGTGTGTGTGTCTGTGTGTCTGTGTGTCTGTGTGTCTGTGTGTCTGTGTGCTGTGTGTCTGTGTGTCTGTGTGTCTGTGTGTCTGTGTGTCTGTGTGTGCCTGTGTGTCTGTGTCTGTGTGTCTGTGTGTGTGGTGGTGTGTGTGTGCGGGCGGCACGAGTGTGTGGGGGGGGGGGGGGGGGGCAGAAGCAGCGTCTATATAGCAAAGAAGACATAAAGGGGCTGCAATTAGCTCCAACTTCTGATGCTGACGCAGTCGAAACCTCACCCCCCTGAAATTTCTTCTGTGAGCTTTGCACTGGAACTCCCAGAAACCCTTTGTTCCGGATTTAGACAAACCATGTCCGGTTTCAGCATTGGGTAGCGTGATAAAACTACGCACAGCTGTAGTTGTTGCGGAACCTAAGACCCTCCAAACGAAGGAAAAAAGAGCTCACTGGCACCCTAAACCCTCAGTGCCAAACCCTAAACCTCAAACCCTAAACCCCAAACCCTGCACCCAAAACCCCCCAAACCCCAAACCCAAACCCAACACCCTAAACCCCAATCCCCAAACCCCAAACGCAAACCCCACACCCTATAACTTCTTGCAGATCGGGTCGCGGATTCACGATCAGGCCCAGAATCGCGTCAGGACAGTGCTTAGCACATGCCTCTGTTCTGTTGGGTTCAGGGTTTAGGGTTTAGGGTTTAGGGTTTAGGGTTTAGGGTTTAGGGTTTAGGGTCTAGGGGTTCAAGGGTTAAGGGTTTACGGTTTAGGGTTGAAACCCCGAGGCCCACCCGAAGCCTTAAAGCCTTGATACCCTCCCTCCCCCCCTACTCCGTCGAAACCCGAAACCTTCATTCCTTAACCACAAATCCTAGCCCCGCAAACTCCGAACCCTAAACCCTGCCCCACCCCGATTTCCCCTCTCTCCCGCCTAAAGAAACCCTCAACCCTTGACATCCCTTAACCCTAAAACTCTAAAGAAGGGGCTGTGGTTGATGGCTTAGGAGGGAGGGCTAGGTTTTTTGGCTTAGGGTTCCCGAAGTCTTAAACATCTTAAACCCTAACTTTCTTCGCCTGCTGCTCGCACTGCGGGGCAGGATCAACAGACATGTTGAGAGGTCCGCGAGAACCCACAAAAACCGAGGAGGATGGGGGGGGGGGGGGAGAGCTCTACTGGTGAAACCCTAAACCGTAAACCCTATAAACCCTGCACCCTCAACCCTCAACCCTAAATCCTGGAGGCCAGGAAAAAGATCTTGTATGTGATTCAGTGGGAACTTGCAATTTCGATGGGCTACCTCGATCCTTCAAGAACCCAAAAAGGGCAAAAGGCTTCAAGAGAACAGCACCAGCACCACAGCCCCACAAGGTCCACCATCACAAACCCTAACCAAGGGTTTAGGGTTTAGGGTTTAGGGTTTAGGGGGGGGATGGGGGGGGTTATACTGGGAGGAGAAATCACAAGCAAAGTCAAGGCTCAGTCTGCTACCCAGGGTTGGCCCCTTTTTAAAGAGCCTCTGCAGCAATTCCTGAAGATGATCCTCCCCACAGTTTGGGGTTAGGGTTTAGGGTCTAGGGTCTAGGGTTAGGGTTTAGGGTTTAGGGTTTAGGGTTTAGGGTTTAGGGTTTAGGGTTTAGGGTTTAGGGTTTAGGGTTTAGGGTTTAGGGTTTAGGGTTTAGGGTACCCTTTTAGGGGTCATGTCGTCCCCAAAGTGCGCCTCCACGATGCTTTTGGCAATGTTGGCGTTGATCTTCAGCAAGTCACTGCCAGAGCCAGCGCGTCGGCAAAAGGAAAGGGGTCTCTGGGTTTAGAGTTAAGCCTCTAAACCCTAAACCCTGAACCCTATAACTAAGGTTTTTAGGGGTTAGGGAACCGTCGTGATGATAAGAAACATCAGTAAGGTTCCATGAAGTAGAGCCACACACACAAACAAGAAATAACAACTTCCAAAGGGCGCTAAGGAGATAGGCGGTACGCCCATGCGAGTTGAGAAAAGGCTTTGGATTGAACCCCATGACCCTGTGCACCAAACCCTAAATCCTTCCCTCTAACCCGGAACTCTGAACTGTACAAAAGGCCCTAAAGAATCAGAAGAGCGTTTGGGGGAGCTATTATCGTATCCCTTTTGAGGGACCATCGGAGAATAATCTCAGAAAATCTTTTCCGACCGTTAGGAAGTGGGTCTCCTGTGGCCTTGTCTACTTTTACTTTAACATTCCATGTGCCCTTGTTTTATTAGTTCTGAATACGAAACTAGGTACCCCACTCTCTCCCCTACATAGCCCTTTAAGGGATTCAAAAGGAACCAAGTCCCTGGATTCCCAAGTACATTAACTCGAAAGTCGCTGGTATGTCTTGCTCCTATGACGGACTTGTTGACTAAAGACAGTACATACACCCGCTCCGCCACTCATCTACAAAGAAAGGAAGGAAACAGAACAGCTCAGGGCAAAATTGTCAGCGTTACCGACCAAGCTGGTCGAGGCAGTCAGCTCGCACGTCTTCTCACGATTGTTCGGCTTAGCCCTTAGGGCGTAGGGTTTAGGGTAGGCGCCCTCAACCCAACACCGTAAAAACCCTGCCCCCTTCTGGGACGTCACGAATCTCTGCTGACACACCCGAAGCAGCTGCTCCGACTCTGAGGACTCCCTAAACCCTGAACCCTGAACCCTGAACCCTGAACCCTGAACCCTGAACCCTGAACCCTAAACCCTAAACCCTAAACCCTAAACCCTAAACCCTAAACCCTAAACCCTAAACTCTTCTGGGGCACCTCTGGAAGCCCATGTGATCCCTTAGCCCTCGGGGAGCCTTTTACTCCTCCCCTTGCTCGGAACGCCCAC